TGATTTAAAGATGTGCTTGATTTTAAATTAGTAAACGGAAATTGGGAGCAATGGGGACAGTGGAGTGCATGTACGAAGACGTGCAAGGAGGGAAAACAATCCAGAAATTGCTGAGTGCAACTCGCCTACTCCTCAGTACGGTGGAAAAGCATGTGAAGGAAAGGCAGTTGGAATCCGTATTTGCAACGCAAATGTTCCATGTCCAGGTCAGTTATATATCTTGCATTGAATCCTATGTTTACCACTTTCTCGCCTGTGTTGGCGGGTAAAGAGAAATCGTCTCTCCACTTTAATCAGTATGAACAGCTTTCGATATTAAACTTTAAGGACCTATTGATAGACTAAAAAAAGGGACATTAATATTTCCAGCACGAGAGAAGATATAACCTAGTACGAAATAATGAATGATTATGTCTTTAGTTGACGGTAATTGGGGGCAGGAGTGCATGGAACACATGTACAAAGACGTGCAGACAGGGAAGACAATCAAGAACACGGAAATGCAACTCACCAGCTTCTCAATATGGTGGTAGAAAATGCGACGGGCATTCCGGCCAGACTCAAATTTGCAATCAAAAGGTCCCCTGTCCAGGTTATAATCTTCTACGTTTAGACTCAACGATATCTCTCTTTAGACCTCTCTAGAAATCAACGAGAAATTACGATGATGCGAGTGACATCTTATTAAAAATGACTTAGTATATCATCACCTTAACGAACTTATTCTCTAGCACCTTCAACATTTCCCCTTTCACTGAAAGGAGCATTAAATGAACAATTTTGGGATGGTAATCAAAATAAACGGCCAGAAATAAAAGTTCATAAAAGAATATTCCGACCTAATGGGAATGAGACTAATCACTCTAAAACTTGTCCATACAACAAATTTTGAATTTCAGTTGACGGAAACTGGGGAGGATGGAGTGAATGGAGTACATGCACAAAGACCTGTAAACAGGGAAAACAGTCAAGAACACGCAAATGTAACTCACCAATTCCTCAGTACGGTGGAAGGAAATGCGATGGACAGTCTAGCCAGACTCAGATTTGCAACCAGAAAGTCCCCTGCCCTGGTAGGCGTGGATTTTAGTATTGAAGTCTATCTAGCTTTGTAAGGAAATTCGAGGTATTCAAATTGCAGTTCGGCAATCACATGATGCATTTTGCTTTAAGCTTTCGCCCACTGAATAACTACAAATGATCGCATTGCAGGAATGAGCTAACGATTCTTTTAAATGTCTGGTCTTCAGTTGATGGAAACTGGGGAAAATGGAGTGAATGGAGCAGTTGTACTAAAACATGCAAGCAGGGGAAGCAGTCTAGGACACGTGTTTGCAACTCGCCAGCTCCTCAGTATGGTGGAAAGAAATGCGATGGAGAAGGAAAGGAAACACAAGTGTGTAACGACAAAGTCCCATGTCCAGGTAAATATTAACCTTTCAGAGACGATTTACCCTGGTGATCGGATATTGACTGAAAGATGTAGAGTTCGCACTTTTATTTCTGGTGAAACTCTTAATATTGTGAAGATAGAGATAACGATAATGAATTTTTCGTCATCGTAGTAATTGCGACAACATGAAATTTTTCATTATCAAAGCCGCTGTTTCCCAGAAGAGAAACAATCGATAGCAATGGTAGCTTAAAATTACAAAATTTGAAAGCAAATTATGTTTACTTTTTCGGCGACAAAGGCTTAAGCACATTTATCGTTGATTTCCCCTTGCTTTTTTTCATTTCTTTTCATATTACATTACGTTCAACTTTAAAATTGCTAAATTACCCCAAAAGCATATCACTTACATGCTAAGACTTCTTAAAATACAAACATTTGGCTTTCTTTGTTACAATGCTACTTTAGTGGAGAAGCAGACGTTATTAACAGCTCTACATAACCTTGCTTGCTCGTAGTTGCTTAAAAATTTGATTAACAACACATTTTTCATTTTATATTGGGAAAAACGGAATGTATAGACGTCATCAGAAGCTTGAAAAATCGATATGTAATTTCTGCATGTTTTACGATTTCAGTTGATGGAAATTGGGGTGAATGGGGCGAGTGGAGCACTTGTACTAAAACTTGCAGACAGGGAAAGCAGTCCAGATCTCGTGAGTGTAATTCACCAGCTCCTAAATATGGTGGAAAGAAATGCGCTGGAGAAGGAATGGAGACCCAAGTGTGTAACGACAAAGTCCCCTGCCCAGGTAATCAATGCATTCCTTCAGGGATTTGTGTTTTACCATAGTCCTTTAATGTGCATATACGTCTATATTTTCAACTTTAGTCGACGGAAACTGGGGAAAATGGAGTGAATGGAGCACTTGTACTAAGACATGCAAGCAGGGGAAGCAGTCGAGAACACGTGAATGTAATTCACCTTCTCCTCAGTATGGTGGAAAGAAATGTGATGGAAGTGGAAAGAAACACAAGTTTGTAACGACAAAGTCCCATGTCCAGGTATGTAAGTCTTCTTTCAGGATTGATCATGGCAAACTGTATTCAATAGCTATGATTAAGGAGTTGGATGCATTGTTTATAACATGACATGTAATTAGATTTTCGCCCATTTTGTTACTACTAAGCTTTAACTTTTACCGAAATAAGACGTGGGAACGGTGGCAGTTTTTAGTTTTTAGACGGTCGCTGGGTATCCAGCTCGCTTCCTTTCAAAAAACTCTTTTCAATATTCTGAGGTGCAGACAGTTGCCTCGGCATGCACTGAAAGGTTTCATAAAAATCGTTTGGTATTAAGTGATAAAACTTAATTTTTTTGCTTTCGTCTGGTGCTAAGTTGACGGAAACTGGGGAGGGTGGAGTGAATGGAGCACATGTACCAAAACATGTAAGCAAGGAAAACAATCCAGAACTCGTAAATGTGATAGCCCTGCTCCAAAGTATGGAGGGAGAGAATGTGAAGGAGAAGCTGATGAAAATCAGATCTGCAACGACAAAGTCCCTTGCCCAGGTATGCATTAAAGCTTTAATAAGATCTGGTCAGAAGTCCGAGTTACCCCAACGGTTTTATTTGTAAAGGTATTCTTTAGAGTTTATATTTGGAGTCTTTATATCTCTTTTCTCAAAAATGACATTACTTGTACCTGGTGTGTTGCTCGAAACATCTTGGTTGAGAAGGAATAGACAACGCAAAACCTGTTATATACGATTGGCTATTCTAGTTCCTCTTGGGATATAGTATCCAAGAGACATCACTTAAGAGCAATGTTGAATGTGTAATATTCATTCACTTATCTTTACCCTCTGCTTAGTGTCGGTATTTAATGCGTTTTATGCAATTCGTATGTGTCGCGGACATATGTTATCTCAGAGTACTCATAAAAAAAAATGGTATGATTGTGAGCTTTCAAGTTAAGGAGATTAACTACTAAGACTACTTAGTACTACTACTAAACTACTACTACTACCATTTTTTGCGGAATTTTTCATCTAGTTGATGGAAACTGGGGACAATGGGGCGCATGGAACACGTGCAGCAAAACATGCAAAGAAGGAAAACAGTCAAGAACCCGTGCTTGCGATTCACCAAAACCTCAGTATGGTGGAAAGAAATGTGACGGCGAATCTGGTCAAATTCAAGTTTGCAATAAGAATATTCCTTGCCCAGGCAAGTTTAAGCCACAACTAACTAGAAGTTCATCATACAAGCACATTTATTTAATACTTTTCAGGGAAGGGAGTGTGTTTCTCCTTCAAGAAGTTTCTACTTTGCCGTTTCCTTGCTTTAACAGTACAGTTTTACTCTAATTATCACCAAGAGAGTGAAAATACCCTGAGGACAGGGGGATACAGCTTTAGTCGCTTACTCACCGAAGGCTCAAGTTTTGCACTCTCGTCCTTTTTGAGAAAGCTGTGTTTACTTGTTAAATGCTGTGTTCTCTTTTCTATAATTTTCTCGATGGCAATTTATTGCTATTCAAAAGTTTTTTAAATGCTTGTACTGAGGGTGATAATGAGAGCTTAACTTTAATATTCCGAAAGAATTAAATATTTCGGTTAAAATAAACTCAGAATCATAGAATCAGATATAACTAGCTATTGATTGGTATTTGCCGTGGTCGTACAATGAATTATTGTACACTCTCTTAGTGGATGGAAACTGGGGCGAGTGGGGAGCCTGGACTACATGTAGCAAGTCGTGTGGAGGAGGAGAACATTCGAGGAAGCGTTTTTGCAACAGTCCTGCAGCTGCGCACGGTGGCAAGAAATGTGAAGGGGCATTTCGACAAATACGGCCTTGCAATCAGAACAACTGTCCAGGTATGAAGAAGGCCTACAAATTCATGTGGGATGGCATGAATAAACCTTTTAGCTTTTGAAGAATATTCAATAATTTTTCTTTGATTGGTCCGGGACACCTGCCACTACGGTTGGCCTATTTTCTTCATTCTGGTTTGTAGCACCTTAAGGTTGTATAACTGTTCACAAACATTTCAGCAGTTATTTTTTGTTTCCTTGATCCTAACAAATTACCCACTATTTAGGGAATACATGTGATCCTAAGAACAGTTTTTCCTTAGTTTGTCCTCCAACCTCACCACCATGAAGAAGTTGATAAGTAAGCGGGACAGAATTGGTGGAGCTGTTATGACTTAGTTGAGAAAACCTCCAATACTTACACTAAATAGCAGTAATTAGCGCATTTTCCCCATTTTGGTTTTCTTATCATTAATAGTGGATGGAAATTGGAGTGCGTGGAGTGCATGGAGCACGTGTAGTAAGAGTTGCAAACAAGGGGAGCAATCGAGAACTCGTGAATGCAATTCACCCAAACCTCAGTATGGTGGTAAAAAATGCGAAGGCAGCGCTAGGGAGAAAACTGTTTGTAACAAGGACGTCCCTTGTCCAGGTAATGAGGTTTAGAGTAGTATGCCAAGTGCTATACATATATTGTATTTTTTCCTACTACTATTGTATTTTGTAAAGGGAAGCATCAGATTTGCCAGTGGTCAATAGGAGATCAATACCGGTTTTCGTTAACTTTCGTTGTTAAAACACTTGTTCTGTGGATTATGATGTGATTGATAAATGGGAAAAGAAACAAGTTGTTGAAACAAATTTCGTATATCGATCTGGCATTGCTATCTGATGTATAATAATATCTCAGTAATGTAATCAATGAATCATGTAATGTTTTACCCGCTGGTCTCTGCGCTGTTTATGCATATTAAAAATAGCCTTGTTTGGCTGATTTACAAATTTTGCGGATGTGTTCCATATGCATAATCTGTATTAGAATTCAATTCCAGTGCAAATATGTGAATTTTTATATATCTAAATTCTTCATTCACTTGGATGTGTATTTATACCCAATTCATTGACCAGCTCCCAGTTGGCTTGTTAGCTCAATTGGTAGAGCGCTGCACCGGCATCGCAGAGGTCATGGGAGGTCATCGCGAGGATCTTCTAATTTCATCTCTCCACCGCAGTGCAAATATGTGAATTTTTTTTCAGGTCTTATTTACAACTACTAGTTTCAGTAGTGTTCTTAGCTGCGAGGATCTTCTAATTTCATCTCTCCACCGCAGTGCAAATATGTGAATTTTTTTTCAGGTCCTATTTACAACTACTAGTTTCAGTAGTGTTCTTAGCTGCGAGGATCTTCTAATTTCATCTCTCCACCGCAGTGCAAATATGTGAATTTTCATATATCTAAATTCTTCAGTCACACTTTTGTTCCTATACTCACCACAGTCGATGGAAGCTGGGGCTCGTGGGCTCCTTGGAGTGCCTGCAGTGCCACGTGTGGGTATGGAAGTCGAGAGAGAAAACGTGTTTGCGATAATCCAAAACCAGCCTACAATGGAAAGTCATGCGTAGGTATTGGGCACCAAAAGTCGAGATGCCACGCCTATTATCCTTGCCCTGGTACGTTCCTTTTTCCAATTTTCAATACAATGTTTTACTTTTTAAATACCACTTGCACTGCAAGCTTTAATTTAGCAAATTTTTGCTCGACATCTTATGTTGAGGGAGGTCTTACATTAGCATGTTCACATCGTTAAGGGGGCAAGTCTTGCTTTTTATAATCGAACCATAGATTTATTATTAGTGTACCTCTCTAGTTAGTTCGCTTTTGACCATAGAGTTCAAAATTTAGCCTTTGTAATATCTTTTAAACGTGTGGGATCATTCGCTGGATGATTTACACCTTTTTATCCAATGGCAGTCGATGGTAATTGGACAAGTTGGGGAGCCTGGACGTCATGCACCAAGACTTGTGGTCTGGGTTACAGAAAGAGATCACGTTCATGTGCAAATCCTCCTCCACAGTATGGAGGCTCTGGTTGTGTTGGGCTTAACGACCAGGTGGAACATTGCAAGGACAAATCTTGTAAGGGATTTAATGCGCTTTCGTACATCACATTTACACCTTTAAATTAACATTGAAGGTTTTAACCTTTTTTTATTGCAAAGAGAAGTTAGTACTGTTTTTGTTTCTCATTCTGGAGGTTTCTGAGGAGTACTGCATCAAGCAATTTTTGATCATTTTTTTAAAATTATTCTTAATTTTTCTTGATGTTTCTTTTTTTTAATGTTGGTGTTGTACTACGTGTTGTAGTATATAATTCCAAGAGAAGCAAAAAGACATAGCCAGAATCCTTAGAGTCCTTTGTTTATTTCAATTTGGCTATGTATCAATAAACAGTTGCAAGGCAAAATAAGTCATCCGTGAGGTAGTTACAATTTTAAAAACGATATTATTGTTAACATTTCAGGCCCAGACAACTGATTCCAAGCAAAGGGCAGTACTTGAATGAAGGTTTTAAAAACAGGTACGGCTCTCATTTGCCTCCATTTTTCATTCCATACTGTGATGTCTCTTAATTTGTATTAAACTTTAGTTGAAATGAAAGAGACCCGCAAACAATTCGTTAGCGAAATTTATGCCCTTGATCAAGCATGATAATATGCTTGTAAGTTGTGCATTCACCTGTAATCACCCTTTTTTTCTCTTTCAATTTGCAGTGTACGTCTGAAGAAGTCATGGAAATCCAGTGCATATGATAAAATTGAAATAAAAACTGTTCATTCGTTAATGACAGAACAAACAAATGATCATGTTACAGTGAAGTAGAAAGTAGAATAAAAGTCACACGTAAAACTATGCAGTTATCTTTTTCTGTTCTGTCGTTTCTGTTGACCCTGGATGAATACAATATGATAATAATAAAAATAAAAAGAACAAACTTTGCTGAGAAAAAGACATGATACACATGCACGCGTGCACAATAGGAATATCTTTATTAAATTGCATTATAACATAGCTAGTAGATTTGTCTACTCAAATTAAATTGCGTGAGCGTGCTGCGTATTCCTATTGTGCACGCTCATGACATCAGAAAAAAAATCCCTTGCGCAAAAAAAAAGTTTGTCCGCGATTTTTTAATTTGGGATTTTACTATTAAAAAACTGGTTAAGACTTCGGCGGCAATTTAAGCTAAACATGGAAAGTTGCGAGCCAGCTTTTATACCATGAAAGTATATTTGAAATATTCATTGGTATCGATAACGAAAAAATGTTTGGGAACCTTGCGGTACTTTCCTAGATTTGTCCAACTTTCTGTCACACGAAGCTAGGATGTGGCCTGTTGTAAATTAGCCAATGAAACAACATCTTTGTGTTTCTTTTGGATAAGAGAATTTTGTATTCAGTCAGAAAATAAAGTTCATTTACACGTATGAATTCACCTGTCAGTTTTTTGACCAATCTAAGACAAGATCGTTTACAACGTACGTAGCGAAATGTCTTCCTGAAACAAAATTATCAACGCGCTGAAGAGTAGCAGAGAGAATATTAACCCTTTTATAACATTTAAACCATCGGGTTGAAACGTTATAAAACAATTAGTTCATACGTCAGCTGTGCGTTCATTGAGATAGGAAGCACTTGGGAAGTTTAGAGAGCACTCAAGAAGCTAGAGTTGCTCGGGGCGTAGCCGAGAGCAACTCTTACACATCTTTTGTGCTCTCCAAACTTCCCAAGTGCTTCATATCTCGATGAACGCGCGCCGCCGTATGAACCAACTGTTTAGTAGCCAGGTAATATTCCCAAGTTAGAGCACAGTACCCGTCTCATCTTTTCATTAAGTAGATATTGCTAAAAGTTCTAGCTTGTAAATTTTTCTTTCTTTAACTTTAGAAATCAGTGGATACCCTGAAGATTTAAGGGGGTAATCTGATGAGTCATTAAGGTAAAAGCAGAGCTATAAACCAGAAACAAATGGCAACTACACTCCATATCACCACAAAGCTAATCTTATTTCGACTGCTCTTCTTGCCGCTGATATGATTAGTTTCTTACATTTTATCACATTTTAGCTAATAACTTATATAGTGGGAATTCGGGAACACTTGTCTGTTCACGCTTGACCCTAGACGTTTTAAAAATATGTTATTAACATCATGGCTGAGTTGTGGAGCCTAAAAGTGCAAATCGGGAAGAACATAACTCAAAGAAAACAGTTGTATATTGCAAATTTGAGGAGATTAAAGCTAAGGTTGGTAAGGTTGGTATTTTTACTTCTAACAATTTTAACGTTATTAGCTTTGAGATCAATCAAAGAAAGACATTTTCTTTTTCGGATAAAATACACTTTTTCAGTCTCCTTTACAGGGAAAAACTTGTGATATTTATACATCTACGTTACCAACGAAATCTTCTTAATGGAAAACCTGTAGAGAACCATTTTTTTCTCTTTATGCCGGTAGCATAAACGTTGTTCAAAATGAGAAAAACAGCTTTGAAATGTAGAGCAAATACGAGTAGTTATAAAGCATCTGGTTGTAGTTTATAGAAATCCAACTTTATTCTAAATAAATGACACAAAGTGATCAATTTCAATTCACATTCTGGATTTCAAAAGATATTTATCTCCACACATTTAATGCCATCACCATTATGACTTTTTTGATGTCTCATTTTTATTCATAAAATCATAATTAATTTCTGCTTGTGGGTAAATAGACGTGTTTGAATATGAAATGAGTAAGTTAGCAGAGTCTATGAAAAGCAAATCCGATTTAACTTATTAAAATTTTCTGTGAAGCATTGTGTCACCCAATACTGAAACATTGAATAAGAATAATGTGGATTTAATCCTTATTTGCTTTAAACCTAATTGCTTTGTTATGCATGTCATTTGTTTTCTATGTGTTTGGTGTTATTAACAATTGCATCATAGAAATTTACTATCGATGGCACAATATCGATTTATATTCGATGGATGACCCACAGACTTCTGTGGAGGCATGGCAGACCTAGAGAGGTCTTTTACGACCATGATATTATTGTTCCCCTAACCTCAGCGCTGAGTTCAAACTCCTCTTTTTAATTAAGTCTCACGGTTATGAGGAGAGAATTTAACTGCTAGAAGGGTAATCTTTTTTTTTTCAAAGTTTAAAGCAGGAAATTTCTAAGGCCATCGGGAGGAAGCTAAGTAATAGAACATATCCGCAAGAAAGCTCTATTCTGCAAAGTATTTATGTTACAGAGGTTCACTTTCGTGCAGCAACAATTGTCAAACTTAGAAGAAAAACAATTAAGGAGAAGCGAATCTACTATTAAAATGTTCGCAAGGGTATCAGCAAGGATAGGCAAATTTATCAAGCACATCTATCGATGCTTTCCGTTTTGTTTTCGTTTTCAGATCCATTCGAAGTAAAAAGGAAATCAGTAGCGATACCTCATAATTCAATTAAGTAGCAAACTTGTTAGTAAACTAGTAATCGATGTATCAGGCTGTGTCTTCGTGCTACTCTATACCTCATGTATCTAATGCTTCTCGTTGTCTTTTAAGCTATTGAAATTCAGGATGTTGGAAAAAGCAAGCTACAGAAGACTGTCAAGTGATGTGGATACCACAAGCTCTGTCCATCCTGCAACATCTGCAAGTTGGTTATCATTATTATCCTTTTGGTGGATGAACGGCATATTCAGAATGGGGAACGAGAGACCCTTGGCACACTCTGACATACTGCCTCTTCACGAGGAAGACAAGACCAGAGATCTGACAGAGAGCCTTCAGAAGGAATGGAACAAACACGTAAACGAACTCAACAAGGACAACGAGTGTAAAAACCAACAACCCAGCCTCTGGAAGTGCATCGTCAGGACCACGTCTTTAAGGAAGATTTCCTTCCTGACATGTTTTGTGCTCTTGGAGTCAGTATGTCGTGTTTTACAGCCATTCTTCCTCGGTTTGCTCCTTCATTTGCTCCGTTCCTCTGAGAGAGACTACTCTTTAGCCTATGGATGCTGTTTCCTGCTAACATTAAGCGGCTTATCTACCGCCTGTATTCACTATACTGGGTACCAGTTAGAACTTCTAGGAATGCGACTCAGCAGTGCTATTAAGGGTCTTATATACCTCAAGGTTAGTCATTTAGACAGCAAACGAAGCTTGTAATTAATCGGTGAGACATTAACCCATCTATTTATGCATTTCTTTGGTTATTGAATCAGTCAACCAGTCGATTAGTCGAATAGTCAATCGGTCAATCAGTTAAGCGGCAGAAGTTTGTCCGTTTGTCTTTCTCTCGATCCATCTCAACTTCTAACAGGAAGTGATCATCCTTTTCAGATACCGTTGGTCAGTAAACAGACGCTTCGAAAAGTGACAAGTGGAAATGTTATCGACTTAATTTCAACTGACGTTGAAAGAATTGAATTGGCACCCAGACGAATATTCATGTCAACATTCACAATACTCGAAATCGCAGCTGTGACTTCCTTATTGTTTTACCTCATCAGTTGGGAAGCAATAGTGGGAGTTTTCTACCTTGTAGCGGTGATTCCATTTGTCATGATTATCTCATCCCTGTGTGCCCAGCTGCTGCAGGAAACAGCCACCGTGTCCGATCATCGCATATCAATGATGATTGAACTCATATCAGGCATTCGCGCACTTAAGGCTAACGCCTTGGAGAACATCCATAAGGATAGGATTCAAGAAGTAAGAAGGTAGGAGAGGACATTCCGCGAAATTGCACTAAGACGCAAAATAATATAATGTAAAATAATAGCACTGTGAAAACTACAGATAGGTAATAATTGATTAGGTATATTCCTCAAAGAAGGGAAGATGTCCTTTCTTATAAAAGAACAAGAATAAAGTTCGCTTATCATTAAAATACATGTACATCTGATCGACCTTCTGCCTTAGTAATCGTCAGACGATTCAGTCGTTCAACTGAGTAATGGAATTACTAACCAAAAAACCACCAGATTTCATTCTCATGGCTTTGAATTTATTGTCATGAAAAATATGATTGATGTTTTAGTTTAGCTGCCATGGTTTAGTAATGCATTCACTTTCGATAACTGATTTACACTATGAGGTGCCAGTAGAAGAGAATTCCTGTTTATGTCCTTTAGGAAGGAGATCTGGATCATCCTAAAGAGGGGAGCTCTGTTATCAATTGTGGAATCTCTGCCGTTTACTTTAGGGGCTGTAGCTACGTTTCTATCTGTCTTAGCTCTCAGCCTCGATGGCCATCTAATTTCACCTACCACGGCGTTTATGCTTCTGGCTTTCATTAACACACTTCGAATTACCATCACACGATTCTTTTATGCTATTACCTCAGTGTTTGAGTTGTGGATATCTTTAAAAAGAATCAGAAACTTTCTTTTGCTGAAAAATATATCTTCAATGGGCTTGGAATCCACTGAGAAGCCTCCTGGCCACCAAGATCGTGTTCAAGAACCTAAAAACAACTTCCCAGAGCTTTATGTTCGAGGCCCCTTAAAAACAGAAGATAAGAGTGAAGAAATAATATCTGAAAATCAAGACTTTGATGGTTACTTTTCTGTTGACAACGATACTATTCGTAACTATAGAACTGAATCTACTCAAACCTTTTCAGGAAAGTTATTAATTGAAGGTCTTTGGTGTAAAGTTGATGAGCTGGATGGGCCATATATCCTCCACGATGTCAGTTTTGAGATCCCGGAGCAGAGTCTAACAGTCGTTACTGGTGAGGTGGGGAGTGGAAAATCTACACTCCTAGCTGCCATTGCAAGAGAAGTCGTTGCATCCAGTGGGAATATAACCTACTCCGGGAATGTGGCTTATG